TACCTCGCGGCGCTTACCCTTTCTAACCTCTCCTCAATGTTAGGAATAGGATATAGCTGGTCCTTTGTGATTGCGTTTAGCTTCCTGTAATCCACACACGGCCGGGGGTCTTTACCGGGAGCCTCGACGAGAATCAAGGGCGACGCGTAGTCGCTTTCGGCGGGCTCGATTACCCCAAGATCCAGCATGTGCTTTATCTCAGCCTCGATGATCTCCTTCTGACGAGGCGACACCCTGTACGCCTTGGACCTGACTGGCTCGGTTGAAATGAGCTCTATCTCATGAGTCATGAGGTCTGTCCTTCCCGGTCGATCACTGAAAGTGTCGCTAAACTCGTTTAAGAGTACCTTTAGATCATCTACCTGCGCTTGGTCAAGAAGCTCTGCGTTCACGCAACGTGCCATGATTTCATCCACACTGCTTTCAGCGCCTGGGCTGATTCCGTTCCATTCTGGAATTTCGGTAGGTAGCTCCTCGGGCATGTTTAACGTTAGGTTAACGACACCCCGTCTTTCAACGAACGGTTTCATCAGGTTGCAGTGATAGATTTTCACTTGTTTTCGATGTCCGGGCATTTTCAGCGCATAGTTAGTTTGCGACAGCTTGTCAATGACCTCTACGGGCCCCTCCCAGTGAACTTCAAGTTTGTTCTTTCGCGCCGTTCTAAGAATCATTACACGATCACCAACCTCAAAGGTTCGGAGTCGTGCGTTCCTGTCATAGTACACTTTAGCGGTTTCTTGAGCCGCTTTCATGTTTTTGTCCACTAGTTCACGCGTAACACTTAGCCGTTCCAGCAACTCCAACACATAGTCTACAACCGTTTGGTTTTCTCCCGTCCCTTCCCACATTTCTCTCAGCATTCGAAGCGGAGAGCGAAGGGCTCTCTCGTAGACCAACTCGGCCGGCGTGAAACCAGTGGCTTCATGAGGCACAGTTCTCAGAGCGAACATAGTTGCTGGGAGACAGCTTTCCCAGTCCTCTTTGTGTTCGTGACACAACGCGCGTAACACTCTTGAGCACAGAGTGCCATTTCTCCACGCTGTTGGACTGAGGGTGATACACGGAAGAAGGTCGCCGAAGGTTCCATTCTTAACAGTATCAACTGAATTATTTTAATAGGAAAACACATGAAAACGACCATTCATATTTTGCAGTTCACCCCCCGTCTGCGTATTACGAGATACTTTCATAGCGGCGTGATGGCACGTGTTGCTATCCCAAATTCAAAAACGCCACCTCACTGTCCAGCAGTGCCAAAGACGGTTGGCTGACACACGAGGTTCTCGCCCTTTTTATTTGGTACGCTTCTACTATTTCTCTGGACACTTGATCCATGTGTCTGAACAAAACTTCAGTGTCACTGAATCTCGGCTCACAGTTACAATCCCGGCAGTGCATTGAAGGATGAGAGTATGCACACCCCTTCAGCGAACTCTGGTGCTCTCTTAAACGTGTGTTCAAACAGCGCCCCATTTGGCCAATATACACCCGCCCACATGAAAAAGGTATCATATACAGTGTTCCAACGGTGCATGAAACGAACTGTGTGCCATTCTTTACAGTGCAACCATGACTACTCGGATTTTTCCGCTTACTAAGACGCCTTTCTATGGCGGGGCAAATCTGGGTCAGCTTGTTTTTGGCCGAAAAAACGACACTCACACCGTTACTTGCTGCGATACCCTTTAACCCGTGCGAAACGCGGTGAATGTAAGGAGTGGACGCCACCTTCTTTTTGTAATTCCGCCATAGAAAGGCGTTTCAGTAAGCGGAAAAATCCGAGTAGTCATGGTTGCACTGTAAAGCATGGCACACAGTTCGTTTCATGCACCGTTGGAGCAGTGTATAGGATACCTTTTTCATGTGGGCGGGTGTATATTGGACAAACGGGGCGCTGTTTGAACACACGTTTAAGAGAGCACCAGAGTTCGTTGAAGGGGTGTGCATACTCTCATCTTGCAATGCACTGTCGGGATTGTAACTGTTAGCCGAGATTCAGTGACACTGAATTTTTGTTCAGACACATGGACCAAGTGTCTAGAGAGATAGTAGAAGCGTACCAAATAAAAAGGGCGGGAAGCTCGTGTGTCAGCCAGTTGTCTTTGGGACTGCTAGACAGTGAGGTGGCGTTTTTGAATTTGGGATAGCAACACGTGCCATCACGCCACTATGAAAGTGTCTCGTAATACGCAGACGGGGGGTGAACTGCAAAATATGAATGGTCGTATTCATGTGTTTTCCTATTAAAATAATTCAGTTGATAGTCAGCGCTCGTCCTGTGTGTTTCTTCTTCGTCCACGTCTGTTGATCGCGCTGTGTCCCAAGATGAACAGAGTTAAGCTGATCTCGTTTATTCATAACATTTCTTATGTTAGTAAACGTGACTGAAACAGATGAAAAAAAAGTAACATGTTCGCAACTGCTTCTTGCACGTAGCTATGACGCTTCTAACAGTGTCTGCGAATCAGAAGATGTCGCTGCCTGATTTTCACGAGAACGGGTGGAATAGGCTTGTTCATTTGAACGTACTCGGTCATGGTCACCCGAAATATTTTTGGCACCAGCCAGTCTTTCGCGTGTTTGTTCCCGCAGCCTGCCACAGGCCCTACTTCTACCTCATATTAGTTTCTCCCAAAGTTCAAGGTTATCTACTACCTTCCATAAAAAAAGCCATCCAGTATTTACTCTGCTCTCAACAATGCCCAAGGCGATTATCGGAGCATATACAGATACTTCAAAAACTTTCTTTGCGGCGGGGTGTCTGCAATTACTGACACGGAAACGGTAACGGAGACGTTTTCGGTAATTGTTAAAGACGCAATTCATACGTTTGTGCCTCATCGAATTTTCATGCCTTAATTTCTCCCAAATGCGTTTCTAAATATCTAAAAACTTGTTTGCGTAAAACAAATTCACTTTATAGCTTACCAAGATTAGCATTTATCGTGCTCTAGCTAAAAAGTTGTACTCTAAAGTTAAGCGCTTACAGCTTCACCAATAGAGTTGTGCTTGAACCGAAGCCCAAAATATTTGTGGAGGTTTGCGAAACAGCACACGCGCGATACTAGCCAAATTATTTGTCTATGTAACCACTCACATAACAATAACTATGTTTACGCCCCTGTAAAGGTTGCAGATATGTTTTCCGATTACTTCAGTGACTGTCGCTCCACCGTTCAACAACTTTTCAGCCTACAAATATTAAAATGAACTGCCATGACTTTTCGTCAGGTACTAGAGTAGATATTGAAGAAATTGCCAAGGTTATAAAGAAACTAAAACCAAAATTATCTACTGGGGCTGTCTCTATTCCTTCGTTCATTATTAAGGATTGTGATGAAAGGTTTAACCTATTTTGAAGCACTCCTTTAACCTCTCCCTTAGTTGCGGTGTTTTTCCTTCGCTTTGGAGGAACGCGGTGACTGTACCAATTTCAAAGGTGGTGACGCTTCTGTTACAAATAACTATCGCCCCATATTTTTATTGTCCGGGTTTTCTAAAGAGTTTGAATGCGTAATGCATAGCCAAATTTATTTGTACTTGCGCGAAAATTTTGTAGCTTGCCAGCACGGTTTCCTGACCGGAAATCAGTTCAATGTAATTGGCGCACTTTTGTTTACTTCAGTGCCCCTGTTGTTATAAACAGAAGTCAAATTGATTGTTTTATATTTCAAAATGTCAAAAGCGTTTGATAAAGTAAGCCATGGCTTGTTATTGCATTAGTAATTTTTATATGGTTGTTGTGCAGAGTTGTGCAAATTGTTTCAAAGTTACCCGATTTCGTCCCAAACGTGTTCGAAAAGATGATAGTCGCTCAACAAAATTTATTTTCCAATTGAGGCGTTTCCCCGGAGTCTATTTTTAGCCCTTTTTGCTTCTTATCTCCGTAATTGATTTGGCGTCATATGTTGAAAATTCAGAGTTGTTGTCTGCACATGACATTAAGCTTTTTATGAATGTTCATACTCTTGTCGACTGCGAAACAAAAAATTGAGTCACGAAGAGTTCAGTTGTGTAAAATAAATAGCTTGCCACTGAACCCTACCAAAACAAATGTCTTGTCCCTGTGCAGACATCGTAATGTACTACATAACTATTATGTATTAAAATGAACTTCAATCAAACGCATCTTTGTTTTAAGAGACCTTGGCGGGAGTATAGACAATGGACTGAAGTTTTCTTCCCATGTGTCCAGTATTTTTGGCAGTGCGACAAAGATGTTGGGATTAATATCTTGCATCACGCAGCATTATAAAAACCCTGTTTGTATTATTTGTTTATTTTTCTATCTGGCTAGGTAAAGTTTTGGATTTGGTTCGGCAGCTTGGTATTCGTTATCAGAAACGCAGTCAAGAAAAATCGAAAAAGTGCAAAAACGATTAATACGCATCGTTTCCAACCGCTATCTTCAGCGCCGCTTTTATTTTAATTAAAACTTTCTTCTAGACAAGTTCTCGCTGAGGTCACTGTCTGACAGAAGATCAGAACGTGATTTGTTTTATTTTGCACAATATAGTAAATGGAATTAAAAATAATGATTCGCTTTAATTGAATCCACTCTAATATATCTCCCCTCCCGTTTGACAAGGAATCACTCTACATTTTATGCCAATACTATCTGCAAATTCTCACCTTTGTCACGCATACAATTGCTGTTCAATCTGCTTGACTAACCAAGTGGTTGAAATATTTAGTGGTTTTTCTGTTTACCGGAAACAATTGCAAGGGATCTCTACCTATCTCTGATGTGTGTTTCATTTGTTTTGTGTGGATTTGGCGTTTACTCATTCTTTGTGCACTAAAGTGAAGGCATTCGGGAAGCCTTGGGCACAGGAATATGAACAATATAATTATTATCATTACCAATATCATCATTATCATCATCACTATCAATATTATTATTATTATCATCATCGTGAATAATAATATTATTAAAGGTAGCTTACGAAAGGAAGAAATGTTCAAATGTTAATCTAGTTAAATGTATTTTGTTCTACCTGGCGGTTCTCCAGCTCTTGTATTCTTCTTACCAGCTTCGCTTGTTCATTCGTCGCTTTTTCCTGTTGAGACATTTGAGAAAAAAAAACAATAAACACTCGTAATTATGTTCACTGAAGGATGTATGTCCTTGCATGTCCACACATGAATAAATATAACAATGGTAAGCTTACTTTACTTCCATGCTATTGCGCTTTCAGAATAATACCGCCAGAAAAACTATGCGGAATTGCATATTCCTATATATACAACTCGATTTTACGTCGCAATTTTTATATAAACATCGTGAAGGTACGGAACACCGAAAATTGCGTTCTTCGGAATTTCGGCTGATTTGCAAAACTGAACTGAAGAAGGTGGGATACAATCATTATAGACAGCATGTGAGAGGTAAAGGGAGGAGGAGGGCTTTGAGACAATTCTACAGTCTACGAGAATACAGGTAGGGGTAGTGTTGGGATCGGCGCGATTCAGCAATAGGAGCTCGTGGGGCTGCGTGCGTAGAGAACAATCACGGCGCGGCAGTCATCATGATAATCGAAATTCGCTGCAGCCGGCGAAGTTTGCCGAATACTGCTTCAGGCGTTCGCAGACGCTCGCTACGGGCCTATCGCGAGGCACGCGCACAACCCTACCACCCTACCCAAGATGCACCGGCGTCGACAACTGTCGCGATCTACATCACGCTCCTCATGCGAGCCGCTCAGGTCCGGACACTACCCCGTATTCGCAATTGTGTGGTATCCACTACAAATAACCAAACGACTTGTAATCAAATATTTTTCGATTAATTTTGTAATAAATTAAATACATTTATTTCCAAGTAATCGAAAGGGTAATTTCATTACTTTTGGAAGTATCAGAATTACCAGTAACAGTTACTCTTTTTTCTCCCCTTTCTAAAGGCGACCTTGTTCCAACAAGTTTCTATACCAGTAAATCATCAAACCGAGTCTCCGACAGAAGGGTGATTAGAACAAATTGCTCTTTTAAGATAAGAAGTGTATAATTTGTGGATCCAAATCCAATATTGAACAGTTAAAAAAAACTCGTTTCAAAGCCGTGAAAAAATCTCTCTTCGAGAATCAAATAGGAAAAGTAAAAGTTACTTTTTCAAGTAACGGTTAATTAGTTTATTCTTGAGTAAGCAAGTAATCTAATTTAATACCTTTGTTTTAAAATAAACATTTGTAATTTATTCAATTATATTTTTTTTTTTTTAACTTGTACGAGGTCGTGGGGCGCATTTAAGTACACCAACGATTCTGCGGACCCAAGGTACCGGATCCAGGTTGACATAGGGTGAAGAGCCTTATTACCCAAATCATATCTGGTATGATCGTATGTTGATGCCCATAGCCTCGCACGAGGCATGGAATTTGTAAATCCTCAAAGTCTATGAAATGCATAAACGTAAACTGCACATGAAGATTTCATTCCCACATGCTTGAAGAAATTTCTTCTGTGTGGCAGTTTTGTTTTTGGTTATCAGGCGAACTTAATCCAGATCACATCGAGAACGCTGCAGTGTTCAATCTTATTACACTCGCAATCGGTATTAACGATTCCATTGCATTGCTTTAGTATGTCCAAGATGGGCATGCGTTTTGAATAAAAATATTTTGCTGTATCCTCTATGCAAGAAAATAAATATACATACATTGCACAGCTCCATATCTTTTATTTTCTGTTGAAGCTCCGAAATTGTGTCCACGTTCTGTAATTGGAAACGCAATAAAACAAACACTCCCCAAGCAGCACAGGCCATTGGGCCAATATTGGGAATATATTGGAATAAGAGGGCTCTCATCGGCCCATTGTGTCCTCTCTGTAACCAATATTGGAAATGTCATGAAAAAATAGGGCCATAATTGGCCACCTTTATCCTTCATATGACCAATATTGGGAATCCGCTAGAAACCCATTGGATAAATTGGAAACCACTTCCAATGTCGTGTTAATAACCTTCCAATGTCGCTCATTATTTGACGGTCATTGGCACCCCAAAAGAAAAATTGGATACCTCTTCCAATAAATTTCCAAGGGGATTCAAATGTTTTATATTGGGCTATCATTGGTACCCCATTGGATAAATTGGATACAACTTCCAATGAAGTGCCGACGGACTTCCAAAGTTTTCCAACATCATGCCGTCATTGGCGCACCACTGGAAAGATTGGACACAATTTCCAATAAAGTGCCAATGGGTATCCAATGTTGTCCAATTTCGGACAGTCATTGGCAACCCTTTGGATTCATTAAATACTACTTAAGTGCCCATAGGCTTCCAATGTTTCCCATTATAACGCTGTCATTGGCATTCGATGCGATGGCACTGCTGAAGAATGACGCATCTCGCAGTGCTCCGATGAAGGATGTGTGCAGTTCGTTCGCAGCGATATTCTACTCGAAGCAACAATATATTGTTTGTTTGGCCGGCTCCAGCCGGAAATTTCATTGGAAATGCCTCGAGGTCGGTCTCGAGGAGTGCTACGCGTTTATGGAAACCGGGACAAGCTCTTTCAAGTGTGCCGACTGCAGCTAGCGACGTATCCTATCACAAGGGTTAAGCGTTTTCGGTTTAAACCGATAAAAAAACTATACAAGTATGCCAAATTCATTTTCGGAAATCTGGTTTTAACCTAAAAAGGTCAGTACTTCATAGCAGTATATCACACCAAAGGGGGGTGGGGGATTTGTCATCTCCCGCAATCCAGCAGTTAGCTTTTCTACGTGACCGTGAACTGTTCCTTTGGCGGAGATTCGCAGCCCAACACAGTACTTTAAGGGTCCATATGTATGTCTTGTGAATGAAATTTGAGTATACTTCGTACGATCCAGTCTTTGTGTTTAAAGTTGTTATTTTTATGATGTACTTATAGTTAACTACAAATGTGGCTCTTGACATATATTCGATCATTTTTCATTGCTGTGTCCTTCTCTCGTTCTTTCTTTTCCTATGAGACTTGTCTCTTCGTTATATTTATATTAGCGATTTGACACTTGTCTGTCAAACGACGTTACATGTGTTATACGCTACGAATCATGCTTGTTGTTTAACATGTGATTTTTGCGTATATTTTATTGCGTCCTTTAGTTTAACTTTTTTTCGTTTTACTAAATGTATACTTCACTCTTGAATTTTTACGTAGGTGTTCCATTGTGCCTTCTTTATTTTTGTTTTTTTATTGAGTATACCATGTTTTGCTGAATGTATTCTTTGCACTGTTGACTGTTAAACCGTTGGGGGCAGAGACCCTCAGGCCTCACACCTTTTATCTCTGCCCCCTGGGCTGAAAAACCGGCCAAACAAATAAAGAGAAAAATGTATACGTACTATTTATAAAAATAAAAAAGTTTGATGTCGTCCTCTGAAATGAAGATCGGGTTTGGATTCTTTTTATTGTGTATCAACCCTCCCCCCCGCCCCGCCCCCTTTTTTTTAACTGTGCTAATTTGCAGATTTCAAAAAGGAAACGAAGAAAATGCATGCCAAGAATTATGCTAGCGAATTTCGCAATTTAGGCAGAGGTGTGTCCTCCCGATGCAAGTAGAAGCCAAGATTATGTTAGTCCCCTCTGAGAATGCTTCCCTCGACGATTAATTCAGGTCACAGTAGGGCTTGAGTGCCACTAGAAGAGAACATCAAGTCTGCACTTCACATGAAATGGAAATCCGTACACTGTCTGAATCGTTTAAGTGAGCATGAAAAGAAAGGAACCGATAAGAAAAATATGCGCCTAGTACACTTTGGACACATACTGAAAAAGAGTGTATTTGGCCAGCTGATATTCACCGAAAGAAGCCGGAATTTTTTTATAACTATCTATATTCACGGAAAAAAAAACGTAAATGTAATGTCCAAATAAAAACCGCAAAAAGTACACCGAATTTTATAAAAATAAAACCCGAAAACGCAGAACCCTGCTTATCACCGAACGCTCTCGGCGATTCTGCTTCAACCGCCAACGACATTTTTAACGCCAGGGAGGGTGAGTCACTCGAAGCGCAAGAATGCGTGTTTATTCCTGCGAGTTTTATGCCTGTCATCGACAACATGACGAACAAGCTCGAAATTCTGACGGCGGAAATAAAATGCCTCGGTGAGGAGAACCGAAGTCTTCGCTCTGAAGTTCTGTCGTGGCAGCGCGAGAACTTTTTGGACCAAACTTCACTGCTACCGCCGTCACAGCCGTCTTTTACTACCGTCGCCGCAAAGGACCAGGACAAAAATACATCTGAGGTTTTTGCGCCTTCTGTGTCTACACGGTTGCCTCTAGACGTGCAAGGTCGACCCTCGTCGACGCTTGATCGCTTGGTTACGAGAATCTGCCACATTGTTCGACAAGCCGACCGGACACCGTGAGTTAACCGAGCGCAATTTCCCGACTCTGCTTTCTGGATTACGGGGTGTCGACGGAGCGAATTCACCGAGCACGACGGATGATGGCATCATTCTGGTCAAGCCACGGCGACGAGCCAAGCCGTCGTCTGGACTGCAAGATTAAACAAGGTGAATGCTGTTTCTCCCCTGTGGAGAAACAGCATTCACCACTGTCCGATGAAGTAAATTTTTTAGAACATTTTAATACCCTCACAAAAATATCTAAGAACACTCCGAGGACGTTCTATAGAGCAGCGTTCTTAAAAAAAAAGGCATCAACGGGCAGACCACGACTACTGTTGCCTTCATGAAGTCATCCTATGGCCGCCCAATAGAATATTGGCCAACGGACGTCCTATAGACGTCCTAATGTAGTGACCCACGTAAGGCCTTCCTATACCCTATCTATAAGACACTCTGTAGGCTTCATACAGACTCCACAGGGTGTCTACATAGGATCCAAAAGGTGTCTATATCGTGCCTGCAAATACCCATACAAGGTCTACAAGGAGTACCTACGGTGTCCGCAGGGAAACCATACAGGGTCTACACAGGGTCCTTATGGGGTCTGCAGAAAAGTCATACAGGGTCTGCACGGAGTCCCTGCGTGGTCCGTAGAGAAGCCACTCAGTCTACAGGGGGTGGAGCTATGGGGTCTGCAGAGACCAACATTACTAGAACAACTCAGTTAAGAAACTTCCATAGAGCTTCCCTGAAAAAGGGGCACCGATTCGTACTCGAGAACCAAAATAATAGCCATCGCAACGCCGCCATTTCTTCCGCGGCCACTACTTGGGGAACAGCACGGTAGCTTGTATTGGTTCGGGAGTATCGCATTTGATAGCGTCCGCTGCGACTCTTCTTTTTTTGGTTTTAATCGGCCATTTTGGCTCCGGAACATATACGGCGGAAGGGATTTCAGGGATGCCAACCCCCGACTCCCAAGCGGACGCGCCGCGAATTACTACCGAAGTTAGGACGCGCCCAGGTCGAGACGCGCTACCTGAAACCAACGGTGAGACATGTTTGTATAAAAACAATATTAATTCAGCCGCAAAGCCTTGTAAACTAAAGACTTTAGCAAATATCAAGACCCAGTCATTTTGTGCTAATCTCCAACCAAATGAGCTTTTTCCGTTTGGTTTTACGAAAAAAATGCTTTCTAAAAGCTCATGCTGGCCTCAGTAAAGACAAAAGATCCAGCCGCCTTCTTGGCACCTCGAGTCTGGGAGTTTCGGTACTCTGTGAACATTAAATATCTCTAGCATTAGCCGTACAAAGCAACTTTCATGTTTCAACTCGTCGCTAAAGGGTGGCGCTGTTATCGTATTTAGAATAGGATAACAGGTTACAGAATAAGATAACAACAGGTAAGAATTATTTCGGTACATACTCAACACTTCCAGCTCCACATTGAATGTGCACTAAAGTTGGACATGTCTCTAGACATCAATGTAATATATTGATGCCCGGCGCTTATTTAAGACTCCTAACTCGGACACCTCCCTACACCTAGCGAACACATCTATCCGGCATCACTTTAATAATCTACCAATCTAGTTCAAACCAGAGAGGCACTAGGGTGTGCATAGACTCACCAGGGCCATAGCTTGGCAATATGAAAGAATGAACAACGTGTTTGTATCGGGAGATCCCTATATCGTCGTTAAGGCCGTTCTATGAAACACGAACGGTCCATAAATGGTCCATGAACGGTCTTCAAGAATCCATAGGGTGGACATAGGGGTAATTGACTGGCACTAGAATGAGCATAGGACGTCCAGACCTATTTTTGTCCAGGGGACGCTTAGTAAATAATTAAATTTTCAGAAATACAAAGTACAGATATATGGAGATTTTAATCATCCAGGAGTGGACTGACCGCTGGGGTTTGGTATTGCCAACAATCATATAACATCAAATAACGCTTCATGGTTACTGCTCTTCATGGACTGCTGTTGTCTTAATCAACTTAACCAAATTAAAAATAGTGCAGAAAATGTTCTAGACCTTGTTTTATCTAACATATCAGTCGATTCTGTGACCCCTGTTATAAATTACTTAATGCGAATAAATGAGATTCAGCCACAATTAGAGTTAAATTCTACATTCCACGAAAAAAGCCACCATGCCATAGCTATTCTAATTACAACTATGCCCGGTAGATTATCTGAGCATGCACAGATACTTCAAAAACTTTGATTGGAGCGGGGTTCTTGGAATTACTGACACAGAAACGGTCACTCAGACGTTTTTGTCGATTGTTAAAGACGTTATTCATTCTTTTATGCCTCAGCGGATTTTCAAGCCTTACATTTATCCCAAATGGTTTCCCCAAAATTAAAAAAAAAAAAAATTGTTTGCGAAAAACAAAGCCACTTTCACAAGCTTTAAACGAACTGGCAATAGATTATTCTATACTCAGTTTAGCATTTATCGTGCTCTAGCTAAAAGGTTGCGCTCTAAAGATAAGCGCTGAAGCCTTGACCAAATAGAGCGTTGCTTGAACCGAAGCCCAAAGGATTTTTGGAGGTCTGCAAAACAGCACACGCGTGATACTGACCAAAGTATTTCAATACGCGACTGCTCACACAACGATAACTATGCTTCCGCCCCTGTAGTGGTTGCAGATGTGTTTGCCGATAACTTCAGTGATTGTTGCTCCTCCGTTCAACAAGCCATTCAGCCTACGAATATTAAAATGAACTGCCATGACTTTTTGTCAGGTATTAGAGTAGATATCGAAGAAATTGCTAAAGTTATAAAGAAACTAAAACCAAAATTATCTCCTGCGGCTGACTGCATTCCTTCTTTTATTATTAAAGGTTGTCGTGAATTGTTTAACCTATTTTGAAGCAGACATTTAACCTCTCTTAGTTTCGGTGTTTTTCCATCGCTTTGGAAGAAGCGGTGATTGTGCCGATTTTCAAAGGTGATGCTTCAGTTACTAAGAACTATATTTTTACTTCCGCGAAAAATTTCTAGCTTGCCATCACGGTTTCGTGACGGCACAGTCAGTTGAAAGTAACTTGTGCACTTTATTAACTTCTGTGCCCCTGTTGTTATGAACAAAGGTCAAATTGATTGCATATATTTTAAAATGTAAAAACCATTTGAGAAAGTAGGCCATGACTTCTTATTACATATACTATTTTTATATTGTTGTTGTGCAGAGTTGTGCGAATTGTTTCAAAGTTACCTCGTATTGCCGCGCGCGCAGCTGGCCAAGTAGGCAGCGCGCGCGTGGCCTAACGGTTACCGAGCTTGCCTCCCGCGCTGTTTTGATGTTCTGGAGAATTTGATGTTCTGGTGAATTCGAGAACCGTCTCGCTGATTCGAGGTTAGAATGTTCTACGCGCCGACCCTTCTACGCCGAACGATCCAGAAACCCACGAGGGTACTTAAGGGATTCCGCAAGGCGAGCGGAGTCAGTTTCGCCCCTGCGTTCGACTCTGCTGCAACGCCGACTGCGACGCCCGCGACGCTCTGTTATTATGATTTGTACCCTTTTTTTTGTGGCACAAGTTCGCCACATTAAACGTTTATTTCTTCCTATTTATTTCTTGTTTTTTTGGTCACCACCCGTGACAATATCGTTCCAACGGTGTTCGAATAGATATTAGTCGCTCAAGAACATTTTTTTTATTGCGGCGCTCTCCAAGGGTCTATTCTTAGCCCCTGTTTGTTTTTTTACCTTCTTAAATTATTTAGCGTCAAATGTTGAAAATGCCGAGTTGTTGTTTGCAGATGCCATTAAGCTTTTTATGAATGTTCATACTCTTGTCGACTGCGAAACTTTACAGAATGGTGACTCGTGCACAGTTCAGTGGTGTAAAGTGAATAGCTTGTCAATGAACCACCTCAAACCAATTGCCTTGTGCCTGTGCAGATGTCGTAAATTATTGCATAACTATTATGTATTAAAGGGCAACTCCGCTTCATTTTTGATATTCAGAAAACGATGCAGCCCTCTTCAGTATCATATAGGAAGACCCCATGTCAAATATTACGGTCTAATTTCGTCTATATATTTAATAAACTGGCCAGCACACTTTCAAGTGAGCCAAGTCGCCGAATCTGCCAACTCTAGCGTACGACGTGAGGCGCAATCATCAGCGCAGTCAATGCGACGGAGTTGGAGCGGCCAACGTTCAGCCCCTACGTTAGAGGCATGTCTTCGTCATTCTCACGTTTTCTTTGTTTTTACTTCTCAGAGTGAAATTGAACGATGACGTCACGAGTTTCTCCTACCGGTGTTGGCTGAACGGCGTCCACGTGATCACCGTAACGCGGATGGGCTGGTTTTCCGCTACCCTGCGCGTTTGTCGCATGTCCGGTTTCGTCTTCTCCCCTTCCCCCTCTCTCCCGGGCGATCACCGTCCACGCCATGCGAAGCGACCTCCCGTGCCGCGTGTCGCCCCCACGAACGTCACAAGAGTACGTGGTTCGAAATGACGTGGCCATGACTCTGACGACACGAGACCAATGTTGCCTGATGCAACCGAAGTTTCGGTTTCGGTATCAGCCGATTTTTAAATTCAGATTAAACAGGTAATATTCCACATTTCGCGAATCCGAAGACTTAGAGCTGTTTAGTAGTGCTTTGTGAAATGGAATCATATGTAAGCCTAAATTTTTCGGAATTGAGCGGAGTTGCCCTTTAAGAGGATTTTCAATCAAACACATCTTTGTTTCAAGAGACCTTGGCGTGAGCATAGATAACGAACTGAAGTTTTCTTCGCATGTGTCCAATATTGTGGGCAGTGCGACAAAGATGTTGGGATTGATATCTTGCATCACGCTGCAATTTAAAACTCCTGCCTGTATTATTCGTTCATTTCGCTCTCCAGTTATTTAAGTCTCGGATTCGTTTCTGTAGCTTGCAATTCGTTGACAGAAACGAAGTCAACAAAAATTGAAAGTGTGCGAAAACGCATAATACGCATCGTTTACGACCGCTATCTTCAGCGCCGCTTAAATTTTGATTAGAACTTTTTCCTAGGTGTGTTCTTGCTGAGACCACTTTCTGGCAGAATAACAGAATGCGAATCGATTTTTTTGCACAATATAGTAAGTAAAAATTATAGATAATGATTCGCTTTAATCGAATGTAATCCAACACATCTCCCCTTCCGTTTGACTAGAAATCACTCTATTGTTTTATTTTAATACTATCTGCAGGCCTTCTGCCTTGTCACTCATACCATCACTGTTCGATCTTTTTGACCATCCAGGCACATTAAAATATTCAGTGACTTTTCTGTTTACCGCAAGCAATTGCAAGGGATCGCTACCTATCTCTTGTTTGTGTTTTGTTTGTTTTGTGTTAATTGGGCGTTTACACCTTCTTTGTGCACTAACGTGAAGACGTTGGGGTGGTTTTTAGGCACACGAATATAAAGAGTATTATTATTATTAAAACGTAGGTTACAAAAGGAAGAAATATTTAAATATTATTCTAGTTAAATGTATTTGGTTCTACCTGACGGTTCTCCAGCTCTTGTATTCTTTTTTCCAGCTTCGCTCTTTCATTCCTCGCTTCCTCTAGTTGAGACATCTGCAAAAAATAAAAAAATGAACACTCGTAATTTTGTTTACTGAAGGATGTATGTCCTGGTTTATCCACACACAAAAAAATACGTATAATAAAGATAAGCTGATTTTATTTCCATGCCATTGCGACTCCAGAATAATACCATCAGGAAATACTATGCGCAATTCCTTATTCCTAATATATTTACAACGCGATTTAACATCTCAATTTTAATATTTTCAATTTTAAGGCACAGAACACCGAAGATTGCGTGCTTCGGAAACTTGGCTTCGACTTGCATAAGTGAACAGAATAAGGTGGGATATGATCATTAGAAACAGCATGCGAGATAACAAAAGGGGAGGAGGGCTTCAGACAATTCTACAGACTACGAGAATACAGGGTTGGGTAGAGTTGGGACCGACGTGGCTCGGCAATGCGAGCTCGCGAGGCTGCGTGTGTAGACAACAATCACTGCGCGGCAGTCGTCACGATAGTAGAAATCCACTGCGGCCCGCCAAGTTCGACGTATATTGTTTCAGGCGCTCGCAAACGTACGCACCTTGCGTATTGCGGTGCACGCACAAAACCCTACCACCCTACCCAAACTCCTAATGCGAGCCTCTCAGGTCCCGACACTACCTCGTATTCGCACTTGTGCAGTACGATGTACAATTAATCAAACACCTTATAATTGAACATATTTTTTATTAATTTTATCATTATTTGAATACATTCATTACCAAGAAATCACCAGAGTAATTTCTTTGCCTTTGAAGTGTCAAAATTACTTGTAACGGTTACTATTTTTCCCTCCCCCTTCTAAAAGCGCCTTTTTTCCTACAAGTTTCTATACCAATAAATCATTAATCCGAGTCTCAGATAGAAGGGTGGTTTTAGAAAAAGTGCTGGCTTAAGAAGATAAGTAGTTTATAATTTGTGAATCCTGATCCAATAATGAAGTGTTAAAAACCCGTTTTCAAACCGGCAGAAAAAATTCTTTCGCTTTGAGAATCAAGGAATCCAAACAGTAACGGTTTCTTTTTCAAGTAACGGCCAATTACATCATCCTTGAGTAATCAAGAAATTTAATCGAATAACCTTGTAGCAGAAGAATTTGCCATTCATTCATTCATATGTATATATATATCTATATATATATTTTTTTTTTAACGTGTACAAGGTCCCTGGGAACTATTCAAGTATACTAACAATTCAGCAGACCCACGGTACCCGTTCGAGGTTCACACAGGGTGAAGAGCCTCATAACCCGATTCATTCCTGATATGACCGTATGTTGATGCCAATAGCCTCGCATCAGGTATCGAATTTGTAAATCATTAGAGCCTATTAAATGCAAAAATAATACTTCTCGCAAGGGCTACTATACCAAACCAGCACATGAAGGCTTCATGCCCACATGCTTGAAGAAATTTCTTGTGCGTTGCAGTTATGTATTTGGTTATCAGGCAAAGCTAATCCAGATCATATGCAGAACGCTTCAATGTGCAATATTATTACACTCAAAATCATTATTAACAGTGGTTCCATTGCATTGCTTTAGTAAATCAAAGTTGCACATGCGTTTCTAATAAGAATATTTACCTTTATTATTATTTACTGAAAATGAATATACTTACGTTGCACTGCTCCATTTCTTTTATTTTCTGTTGAAGCTCCGAAATTGTGTCCACTTTCTGTAATTGGAAACACAATAAAACAAACACTTCCCAAGCACTACAGGCCATTGAGCCAATATTGAGAATATCTTGGAAAAAGGGGGCCATCATTGGCCCATTGTGTCCTCTCTGTAACCAATATTGGAAATGACTTGAAAAATAGGAACATGTGTCACCAATTGTCTTCTCTATCAGCAATATTCGGAATTTATTGGAATCCCATTGGATAAATTGGAAACCACTTCCAATGTGGTGCCAATGAGCTTCCAATGTTGGATGGTCATTGGCCGCCCACCGGATTAATTGCATACCACTTCTAATAAACTTCCAATGGGACTCCAATGTTGCTTTAATTGTACAGTCATTGGCAGCGTATTGCATAAATTGTATACAAGAAGTGCCAATGGGCTTCCAACGTTTCTCAATATCGTGAATTCATTGGCACATCATTATATAAATTGGACACTATCTCCAATAAAGTGTTAATGGGCATCCAAATTTGTCGGATATTGGGCAGTCATTGGCACCACGTTTGATAAATTGGATACCACTTTCAATGAAGTGCCAATAGGCTTCCAATCTGTTCCAATATTGTGCTGTCATTGGCACTCCATTGGATAAATTATACCATTTGCAATGAAGTTCCAATTGCCCACTGAAAATATCCTAAAGCATTTAAATTTTTAACAAGAGAACGGCTCCTTCCAACACTTTGGTGTCTGGGTTGGCCGCAAGCGGGAAGTGAGCCTTTAACAATGCGTAACTTATTTCTGTGAAAAAAAAAAAAAAAAAAATTTTAGGCATTTTGAATATTTGCACTTATTCCAAACAGACCATATTCTACGCTTCCTGTATCGTACATTCCGCAAACACAGACGTAAAGAAGTCTGACAGCTCTTCAACGTATGGTTGATATCCATAAAATGAAGGATATGAAACTTTTTCGGGGACACCCTTTATTACATTGCAATTATCGGCATAAACCTGAGAAGCTAGAACTCGCGTTTTCAAATAGAATAGCATTTAAAAACGCGAGGTCCGCTCTCGCTTTTTCCTGAGTAGATGCAAGTTACTCGAGTGCCAGCCCCACACCTTGCTCAGTAGATACCTATAGGCATCTACTGAGTAAGATGCGCGGCTGGCATTCGAGTAACCTGTTCTGACTCCGGCGGAGTCAGAACACGTAATCAAGCAGACGCCTACGACGCACTCTTCCACCACGCGCTAAACGAGCAAATTATCAAAGCTTCTAGCGTTCCCACCAAGAACGCGCTTATATTTCCTCTCTTCTTTTTTTTCTTTATTTTTCACTTCGGTGCGCCTACTGGATAGGGCTGTTCCCGAGGAATTCACAGCATGGCGTGAGTTTCATCTCCGTTCTGTTATGTCTCGCTCCCGGAGTTTGATACTGGAGTTGCCGCAAAGGTCGTGTTACTACAGTCCGCGACATTAGCAGAGCGAGCGGTGAAGAGGAGGTCGCCTCCTCTTCGGCAATCGCTCTGCTAAAGTGGAAAGGGGTGGTAGGATCTTCCACTTCGTTCTTGGCCTGTCGCCGACTATAGATGCAGGTATTGAAAGTATTCCTTAAAGGTGAAACATTGCCAATTTGAACGAAAAATATATGACGTTACTCTCGACAACATACGTTGACTAAATAAAATAAGAAAATAATATTATCAAGAATCTGATATGAAAAACATTATGTACGCATATACTGCACCCTTGTCTACTGTGTAATTAATTTATGTAGCCTCAAACTACAAAAGTGGTATGTTAACAAATCCCATTTGATGCAAGTGGGAAATTCTCCACAATTATGACGTTGGACTATGAAGGAAGGCATCCCTAAACTCTGACCTTAGCCCTCCAGTTGTACTATTTCAGACGTCAAGGGAAGAACCTATAGACCTCATCACTTTAGATAGAGCTGCTTTAGCTCTAATAGGTCATTAATTTTTTCAGTTATTCTAGGCAGTATAAGTTCCTGTAGTGCTCTTCACGGAATTATGAAACGCCAATGCTATCGCTGAGGCATTTTCGGAAAAGCTTGCCCAGTAAACCAACAGGCCCTTTTCGGCACTCAGATTTGCACGTTGTCACGGACGTCAAAGGTGAAGTCTTAAGCCAGGGGCAGACAGGCCTCAGTGATTCCTGCGCTAGCCTTTAGCCACGCGTAATTAAGTCTGGCAGCAGGTTAAAGGCTAGCGAGGGAGTCCCTCGGGTGTGCTTACCCAAGCCTCGGGAACCCCATCCCTCCACGTCCCCCCCCCCCCCCCCCCCCCCCCGCTCTAAGCCAGGTGATGTGGCGTCCGTTAATCAAGCGCCAAAATCAGCATGGCATGCTCCACAATATTTTCTTCCATACGCATCCGCGAGCAAATTGTGATTTCCTATATGACTATCTAGTCATGAGCAACATCCGCCTGAAGTGTTCCTTCGGCAATTAATCTATCACACTGATGTTAGAGCGTCACTCACCTTGTGGTCACTTAACTCCTCCTGTTTGATCCATTCATCACAGTCACGGCATTGAACTCCTTTTTCAGGACAAGCCTTCTCATGTTCCTGTAAAAGAAGAGAATACCCAATTTTTGTCTCCGAGAACAGCGCAAATGTGGGTTACGTCGGCCACCTGTTTAGATATAAAGCGCCTCGTTTGGAACAATTACTTAAAACGCTATTAACAGAAAGAGAAACATCTTCCACAACACTGGCCTGGTTAACCGCAGGTACACTCTAAAAACTATCACGCCGAACCTCACGCTAACCGCGAGTTTCAAGCGTGGAACCTCCGTCGATACCACGGGAATGACGTTTTAAGCACCACGTGATCGAGAATAAGCGTTTGTTTTCTGTGTCCAAGCGTTAGAGCAGTCCGAGGAATCCCGCTCGGCCTTTTGTTTAGGACGTGATCAACAGCGTTAGCGTGACGACCGCAAAACACACGCTTAGATTTTCGGAAAAACGCGTGCGCCTCCACTCATCGTCACGCTAATATATATCCGAATGGATTGACCCTCCCGAAGAAGCACTTGCGCGTGCTTTTTTGTCGAGTTTTAGTTGACGTGAGCTTCTCTTTTCCGGAAGCACAGAGAGCGCATGCGTCCTCTTTTTTGGCGGGAAAAGCGAGAAAGCCGTTGCGCTGTTTCCGTTGCGGGCTGTCTCTCTGAGTCAGTTCCCGACACGCTTTGTTTGTGGCTGGGGCTGGACCAGCTTGACTGACTGCGACTGGCGAGACTTAAACGGCGCGTGAGTTCGGGCACAGTGTGCCATGTTTACCGCACCTGACGTGCGTGGAGTGCAGCGGGGTCGCTGCAAACACAGCGAGTGCGAGTGCCCCGAATTCCTGCGGGAGACGGATCTGAATGGCCAGCCAAAGAAAGGGCTTCCCATTTGGCTGGTGCCTTTACTGCGGCCATTCGCCAGCTATTCAAGGAAGACTTCAATATTTGTATAAGAACCCTGCTTTCCTTTGTCCCCCATTACTCTCTTAATCCGCTGTTTTTTTCTTGTTTTGTTGCAAAAGCGAAAGTATCAAGTAGCACAATCTTTACCATATCGCTTTTGTCGAAGCGATGTGCTCTTCAGCATAACTGTCACATCTAGGAAACAATTTTTGCTGCTTGTGATTGAGCGCGGCATTGAGACAAATGTTGTTTATTCGGAAAGGTAAAGCGGTAAACCGTAGATGCTGGGGTGTAGTCGAGGTAGCCGGGCGAGTTTGTTCTCGGCTGTAGACACTGCAGTACATAGGTGAGCTTGTTATTCCAAGTGTTGCATTGCTGTCGCAAAAACTTCGAAAGCATATTTTGCCTGAAGTCCCGCCTCTGCGTCGGTCTCCCGTGTTAAAAGTTTACGGTTTGGAATCGACGAACACCCAGAATATGGGTGAAGGAGAGAATGGGTACGTGACAATATGGCAAGGGAAAAAGGGTGGCAACAGGAAAGAAGGGAAAGGGTACACAACGTTGCATTGTAGGAGTAAAAGGGTCGCAGCGGTGAAGGAGACGCAAAGAATCACAGTAGCATCAGAGGCAGCCGCGTGCATCTTTGCATGTTCCGGTGCTTGCAGGCATGTTTCATTTTGGTTTTGGTCGGCCTCAACCCAACCGTTTCTTTGAGATAAAGCTGTGCAGAAATATCGAGTTAGCTTGAGCGGCGTCGCCGTCGGCGTAACCGTAACGCGTCGGCGTAACGCTTTTTCGTGACACTCGCAAAATAACGCACTGATTTCAGCGGCGAGTAGAGCACTTTCGCAATAAAGTAAATACTTCAAGCACGCTCAAAGCGCACTTAATGTTACACAGCTTCACGAACTAAGAACAGCCTGTTATGAGCGCTTCAGTTAGTGCAACGTGGAGAATGTTAAAGTTCAAGTGTTTATACTCATTTCTGTAATACTAAGTTTATTTAGGCCATAATATTTTAATCTTATTGTTAACAGGTTGCACTGACGGATATTCTTGGACCCTGCATTGTGTGGGGCGAAACGAGACGGCTAATCTGCGGCAACGAACCACGAAACGAAATCGACCTGCAACCAGACACGTCTCTCGAGAAAGCGCTGGTACTATGCCTCTGTGTTTACTACTTAACGTAACATACCCAGCAGCATTTGGGCAGCTGCTTGGTTTTGTACAGAGAGTAGTGAAACCAGCAAGCAGTTCTGAGGTAGCGTGGGCCTAGAAAGGGTTGCGTGATCTTCTCTCAAAATTGCACTTTCTCGCACAAGGTTTTTTTTTTTTTTTTTCATACTCGTTTTTGGAAGAATGCTTGGAGGGGAGTTATGTACATCAAAATATAATAGCTCTAGTAAATTGAACGAAAGTGCCCTTAATAATAAAAAATCTAAGGTATCTAGAAAAAATGGCAATGCCACGTGGTCGAATGCGCCAAAACTAAATCTGGTCATTACGCCAATTCAATTTTCGTTAGCAAGTGTTGACTTTCCTAACGAAGTTAAAACTTTGCTCATTTGAACTCATTTGATGTTTATGCCAGTTTGACCTTTGTTAGCAAAGTGTTGACGATGTTTAAACTGGTTGTGTTTCGTTACGAACCAATCTTAGAAGGAAAGACCTCCTTCATATTCTGTGGTTAATTTCTTTTACAAAATCACAGACTTGCCACCAAGCACAATTTTTCTAATATACCAATTATTGTAGAAAATGAACCGTAATGAAGTATGACACGACACAATTATCACCGCGTAGCTGCAAACCATATGGTAACGAATTGTATATTGACTCTGTTACTAACATTTACTAAAAAATATATTTTGATTCAAAACCGCTAAAAAGTCAAAATATTGACATTCGTTCATAGTTGGTTCATGATATTCTAGTAGTTGCAGTTCTTAGCAGTTGGTGGGCTTTATACTTTTTAGCGGCTTATTTGTACAAACAAAAATAGATTTTCTAATAAGGAGTTTATCCCCGAAGCTGAAATTTGTTTTCCTCTATCTATTTAGTTCCTTTTTGACTGTTCCTTCTTGTAACTGGAGCCTAACGAGATCTCTCTCTGTCTCTTTGGGTTTTTAGACGTCAAAGATAAATTTCCTAAAATCTTTATACAAGTTGCACAGCTCTGAACAGCTTGCAACTACCTAGCGCAATGTACCAGGCGTAACATGATTCACAACTGCCGTTCGTATATGTGCGTAATTATATAAAGCAGCACGTCGATCTTTCTTGCACTACTCAATTCGCCTAAAGGAGTACTTAGAGAGATTTAGTAGATCGTTTTTGAGCCCCTATAACGATATCCAATAACAATATGGTGCATGGGGGCCCGTGTGTTCATACGCTTATTACGGCGCGCGTTTTCTCTACTCTTAAATAATGACGCCTTCTAGGCGCGTGTAATGTGCGTCGTGGTTGAAACCTCTGGCCATTGACATTGGGCTTTCTCGCATTTAGTATATCGTCCCAATAATCTTAGTTATTGGGACGATATACTAAATGCGGGAAGCCCAATGCCCACGGCCAGAGGTCTCCACCGCGACGCGCATTTCACGCACGCCTAGGAGGCGCCATTATCTAAGCGTGGAGAAAACGCACGCCGTAATAAGCGTGCAAACACAAGGGCCCCCTCACGCCTGCCAAGCGTTAAACCATAGCACAGTTCACGCTTAGGAAGCGTGAATTTGACGCGTTGGAAAACAGCACGCTTCGAGCAAGCGCGTAAAAAATCGCTTTGCGTCACGCCTGCAAGCGTTAAACCTGTGCGCAGTTCACGCTTAGGAAGCGTGAATTCGAAGCGTTGAAAAACACCACGCTTAGAACAAGCGTGCAAAAAAAATCGCTTTGCGTCACGCTTGCTCTGCGTGACCATTTTTAGAGTGTACCTTAGCTTTCTCTTAATCTTTACTTCAATTTGTAACGGAATCACAGTTATAATTAATGAACGCTGTGTAATTTCGCACCGATTACAGTCAAAGCCAAGCATTGCGAACTCCAAAAGTGCAAGTAAAATGTTGCAGAGATCATTCTCATTAGAAAGTGTACTTTGCTTTAGCAGCCCAAACGCAACCTCGTAAAATCCTTTAAAAATGACTTTTCGAGGTAAACAAAATGCGTACTTTTGTGGCTCGCTCTGCAAAGCGCAATCATGTGTTCCTCATTTGTTCTGGAGAGTAGCGGGCTTTATCATATGTTTACAGGAATAGCTGTTTTTGGCTACCCCCCCCCCCCCCCCCCCCCCCCCCACCCTCACAAGCTCGAATTGATTTAGAGCGTGCGTCGTCGATTCTGACTTACGTGGCACCGTGAGGTCACACAAAGTCGCGAGACGTCACGTTCTCACATGATGTCACATAGTTACGGGATGTCAAGGCGTCATGTGGCATCGAAGTATTACGTGCCTTTGCGCTGTGTAACATGACTTCATAATCTAACATGACTACGCTAGGACTCACGTGACATCATTTATCCGTCTTGCTTCGTAGCTATAGGCGAGTTTCATTCCCGGACTAGACATTGGCCATTACTCCTCCGCGTCAGGCGAAAGAGACACAAGTGCCAGGTGCATAAGGGTACATTAGGGTCTGATTAGGTGTCCCAGCTATCGCTGTGAGTGTACTGCGGATTCACTCAGGAGTGCTCTCATTTTTTTTTTCCACACTGAGTTATCTACAGTTCAGATAAACTGCGAGACCACACATTAACTTTAAGCAAAAAGAAGAATTTCCATGATTTACAGAATTATTATGCTGTTTATTATAAGGAGATGTGTCAACACTATTTTTCACAGACCTTAAAAAAGTAGAAACGATACTTCTTTGATTACTTTATCTTCAGAAGGAATCCACGAAACTTTGCAGATCCATTATTTTGATGTGCGTGGACAATGGACTGCCAGAAGGAGACGTAGTTGAATTACGGCGCTTGGAAAGCGTCTCCGCACTGGTGTGTTCACCATACTATTCCTCCCGCACGTTAAAAGTTGTCCCGAAGTGGCAACAAATGACGTTACAGAAGCCGGGGTGTCATGCTGTTAGATGCCGTATAATTTTGGCGAAATAAACCCAAACCAGTCTAAAAAAATATAAAAAAATAAAGCACGAGATCGCGAGTGTTGCGCACGTCGCTTGTCCCGATTCAGGGCTGCCGAATACTCCGCGGACTGGCAAGTTTTGGAGAGCAACCTGCAGCAAACAGGCGTCTGTACCACATTCACCACCACTGCTGCCGTGACACCGCCACAATTGCCAGCGGCAACAGAATGACACTTCTATTATGTCATCCAGCGAAAATCGAAGGACCACTTTTTTTACGATGTAGGACGCGGTATAAAGTTCAACACGCCAGTCGGAGTCGCGTTCAAAGCACAAATAAACTCCTTAAAAAAAAAAAAAAAATGTCCGCTCCATTGCTTGTCTTCCATTTTCCTTTCTCACACACACCAAGCATGTTATTGGACACGAGGGCTGCAGCGTCAGCTTTCGACGGGAGCTCGGCTTAGCTCGGACTCAAAACGAGCGCTGCGTCAGCGTTCGGCGAGGACTCGGATCCAATCGCAAGCTTCGTGTATTCAATGGATGGATGGATGAATGTTAATGGCTATACCCTTAGTAACGGGAGGTAGCTTGCGCCACCTAGCCTCCTCCCTAAGTAATGGCGACCGCCAATCTTGCTTGACGAATTTTTGAAAAGGGTCGTTTGTTGAAGTATTGAAACAAAATTCAAACATTTTTCTGAAAGAAAAATAATGAGGCTCAAGTGGGCTCGAGGGATGGGCTTACCCCAAGGTCACGCGCATCCCATTCCTCCTTGCAGTGTTTACAAACAGGTGCTTCATCGCCCTCCAACTCCACCGTGACATCCGCGTTCTTGCTGAAATGGTCTTCTTTCCATGTTGAGGAACTCGTTCGATGTTTCTCCTGGGTGGAAGCAGGTTTCTACAAAATAAATAATAACAGGATATGTTAACACAAATTAAAAACAAAATAAAAATAGGCACGGAGTTTTTTTATACGTGCAAAAATTTCTTTGTCTTGTAAGTGTTTTTTTTTTGTCTTATTGACACGTTTCAGTTACCGAAGTTCAGACTCGATCACCTAGTCATTTAAGGTTTATTTATTTTCTTATTGTGTCGGCTGCCACAACGTTGCTGGGGCAAGAGAAAACACTACTTTTGTTTATTTCGAAAGAACGAAAATAAAAAAGTGGATCCGCATCATTCCACAGTATGGAGCGGTTTATACATTTAAACTACGCCAATGTTTTGAGCCACCTAATCTAAAGGCGTAATCCGAATGCGGACGACTTTCTGATTCCAAAATGCTATTTCGTTCCCCCAGATATACTCTAGTTAATTAAAAAATGAATATTTTGTTCCCTACCGAAACCCAAAACTTCATTCACCCTAGTTTTTCCTCAGTTTCCCCGCCATCCAAACGTGACGTCACTGGCGGGAAGCGAGGCGCGCGGCCGGCAATGCGGTGCACTGCGGCCGGCCTTTCTCGCTTCCAACAACGAGAAAACAGGGTCATTCGTTCCACCTCAAATTGATAATTGATTGGTAGTTCGAATTGGAAGACATTTTATTACTATTAATATTTTATGAATATTAACAATATTATTATTATTATTACTTTTATTTTTATTGTTATTATACCCTTCACTTGCCAAATGCATGAGTTTGGCCTACGAGCTCAACTATGGAAAAGAAAAAAAAAAAAAGCAACTGGAAATTTGAGAAACCCGGTGCGCTCAAACCGCGGCTCGTTAGTTTCGTGAAATCGATAGCGTAAATCTGTTCTTCTACAAGAAGCTGGCAGGTACGCTGGTGAAGAAAGGTCGAAGAGTCACGCAGTGCACGTTTTGACGAATCGCCCAAGCACCACGGAGTGTGCTCGGCATGTGGGTACAGGTGCCCCACACGCTCGTATTACCCGATGAAAAAGTGGCATTTGTTTTAGATTTCATTTAGAAAAGTTACTGTTGCCGACGCCAGGACGTGTAACTCATCTCGTAGCATCAACATGCTCCTTGGTGCTTCGGTAATTTGGCAAAGCATCTATAAATACCATTCGAGAATAGCGCTTCTGGTCTGCGCCATTTTCAGCGTTCGTGCCTGTGGCGAGTACTTTCCTCGTTTTCCAAACCTGCGAACATGCGTGTGCTGGGTAGTGAACCAACGCATGTAGAAAGCGATTCTCGTAAACATTAAAATGTATGGAATGAAATGAACCGCATTCGTGTAGTCTAGACGGCAGGTTCATTGGTTCACCAAGATCGTGCTAAAATGACAATTTAATTATCTTTGCAACCGCCACACGAGACATCAAGGTGCAGTAAAATACGCATAAAATATACAATTCATTCTTAAATACACATTACTTTTTTTAAGATGCAATAGTGAGGAAAGTACAGAATTTCATCTAAAATGTTTAATTCAAGAAAATTAGGAAAGCATTCTCCGAAGAAATATAGGTACCCATACCTTTTGGTTTGTTTACTGTCAGAATAGAATGCAAAACGTTCAAACAACCATTCACGAATGCGCACATGGAGATAGGGGTGATTCTATATCGGATTTAAAAAAAAAAATTATTATTACATTTTGCTTTTGCAAAGCATCTATCTGCGGTAAATTTATATTCCTCCCATCAACGACATTATTACTATTTTCATGGTTCAAAAACATTCAATTGAATAACATTATCTACAATATGAAAACAAAAAAAAATATAATTGCACGCCAACCATTCATGAAACAAATCAGGCAACGACCCTGTCTTATATTAACGGAGCTCAACACTTGGTTTCTGAACCTTTGTAATGGCAGACACGAATTGTGTCGAACGTCATGTCTAAACTCAGACTTGAACTTTAGACGTTTCAGTTCTGGTTTTCAACAGATCAGCCGCTTGATTTGAACTCCGAGAGTAGCGCGGGCTAGAATCGATATATCAAGCAAACATAGTATTTAAATATAAAAAAATAACCGGAGCATTTTTTAACAAATGTGACTGCTGCAAATCCCAATTAGCCCTATAATGTGCACCATTTTTTTCAATAGTATAGCGTTCTTCTTTCGACAGAGTTCGTAGCGGTCACAGCCGGTTTGAATCTCGGATTGCCATTCTTGAAGCTGTTCCAACTGCTGAAGGATACTCAGCTACTAGCACGCGGCTGTAAGGCATTTCCAACAGAGGCGAGAACGTTTCATGTGACACCAGTTCTTTCGGCACACAGCTCCCGCAAAGGCACATTGACATGGCCGAGGGTCCACTCCAGCCGGTGACTGTATTTGTTTTTCTCCCACAAAAACAAGGGTAAAATTAAGTTTTTTCTAGCACTGTTCATACAAACTACCGCCGAGCGCGGTCTGCTAGTTTTGCAAAAGATCTTTCAACCTTCAAGCTGCGTAAAAATATTCTTGATCGCTGGCGACCAGGAAAGCCGATTAGCGGCTGCCCGGATCGCTCGCCCGCCTTCCCACCGGTGACGTACACGGCTAGGCAAAAGTAGGGACTTTTCATTGGTGTTAGTAGAGAGTCAAATCCTGTAACCATCGTGGCCAGCATAATTTAAAATGTAACAAATTCATGAACTGCTTTTATTTTGATAAAATACTTTGGTTATTAATTGAGAAACGCTTTCAGTGTCATTCCCCGACACACTTCGCCGTCACGGCGACCCTGCTGCTGCCCCAATCTGCGGATTCCCGTCCCGATGCCTGGAGCCCGCCTGCAAGCCACATGCAATGCGGGTGGGCGCTCGTGCCAACGCTAACGACGGGGCGCGTCGTCAGGGTACGCTCCGGCGTCGTCATTCCTGGACTTCGGCCAAGACATCGTCCTGTCCCTGCGCCATGGTGAGCCACAGACTTCAGCGCCGGGAGCGTCCCCGAAGATTTTTTCATTTGTCAACCCTAGCATGTGGGGGTCGGTACCGGACGCGGTAGTTTTTTTTCGGTTTCGTTTTTTTTTTTTTTAATTTTGTTTTTGAGAGCCGGTAGGCCGTTTTATTTTTTTGGCCTACCTTAGCCTTGAGAAGGGGGGAGTGTGGGAACCATGGGGTTCCCTCTATCCCTATCCAGGCCTAGCTTCGCGCAGGCCGTGGGAGCCGTCGTCACCAATGGCGTCGGCCTCCCGGATACAAGGAACCACGAGGCCGAATCCCCCGAAGGGGCCGGCTCTCCCTTGCCCATTTGGGTGAACGCGCCATCGTAGCACCCTTGAGAGCTATGATGGACGCGACTGCTAGTGGCCTCCCCGGGCGCGTCCATTCTCCGAGGCTACATAAGCTGGCCCCGAAGGTGGGCCAGGGGCAAGGGAGGAAGTGGCCGAGTGGGCTAACGCGTCTCAGCTCGGAGCGTGGAGCGAAAGCTTGCGCTGGGAACCTCCTGGGTTCGATCCCCGCCGCCCCGCCCGTTTCGATCTGGATGAGTTTCGTACCGGCACGCGTTCGTGTGATCACTACTGCGTGATGCACGTTAAAAATCCCAGGTTAGCGGTTGTACCGCACTAGCTAAATTTCTCATCTACAGCTAAGAGACCGATTACCCGTTGAGGCGCATCTCCATCAAGGCTGTATAAACATAAAGAGCAAGCCAATTTTTTTTTTTGGGGGGCCAGGGGCTCTCGTCGGCGGAGGCCCTGGCTCTACGGAGCTCGGTTTTTCTTTGTGGGCCTCCGACTTCCCGTGAATCTGTCCAATGCGGCAGCGCGGGAAACCGACCGGGTGATACTGGCAATTGAGCCAGCGCCCAGACTTTTCATTGTCTAAGAGCGAAGCGTGCTGACATTGCAGTCAATAAACACGTCTTTATCCGGACCCATGGAACCTTCTTCTGTGTTGCTAAGTGGTGACAGCCCCAGAGGGCAAATACCACATCTGGCGCCCCAACGTGCGGCTTTCCGTGGACTGCAAAGGCAGCAGCATCCATCTCCTTTCGCTAAGATAGCGAACCAGGTCAATTTCCGGCCAAGGATCAAATAGGTGGACAAAGGGAGAGGCGAACGCCCGACACCCGACGCCACTTGTTAAGTAACGAAGGATGTTGTTAGAAATAAGTAAGATTTGTTTTACAAAAGTCTATCTTTCGACAGTTGCGTCGGCATCGTTTTAGTTTTTTTTTCTTAATCGACTTCCCGGGGGACTACCATCGGGCGAACACCATCATCGGTCGTCACCATCTTGACCGGGCCCCTTCCCCCTCGGAAAGTTGACTGGCGCAGTCGGCAGGATCCTGCTGACTTCCTGCGACGGGCGGTGAGCGAAAATGACGGCATCAACGGAGGTCGGCGGAGCGTACCTGGGCTCTATGCGACAAGTGTTTCGTCTGCTGGATTGCGGGCAACGGTCGCGTCTGCTGGACGCAGACAAGGGTCCCGTCTGCTGGACTGCTGACAAGGGTCGCTCCTGCCGGAGTGAGGACCGCGGCAACATCTACGTGAGAAGCCCGGGGGGGTACAGTTACCCAAAGAAGTCGTCTGCTGGACTGCGGACAAGGCTCGCTCCTGCCGGAGTGAGGACCGCGGCAATATCTACGTGAGAAGCCCGGGGGGGTACAGTTACCCAAAGAAGTCGTCTGCTGGACTGCGGACAAGGCTCGCTCCTGCCGGAGTGAGGACCGTGGCAATATCTACGCGAGAAGCCTGGGGGGGTACAGTTACCCAAAAGGAGTGGTGGCAGCTGACAGGTGGTCCTGGGCGTCATCTACGTCGGAGAACAGGACGACCTGTGGCTTCACCTGCGGACCGGCGAAGCATCTTCAGCGAGCGGCGACAGAATATCGGGGCAAGCCTTAAGAGAAGAGACGAGATCGTCGCTGCAGTACTGAACTTCGTGGTGGTGCCGGAAAATTTTGCGTTTTTTTTTGTTTGTCTGTGAGGTTGTTTTTTTTTTTGTTCTTTTCGGTGAACGAAGAATGAGCTGAGACTTCCAG